GGCAAGGAGCAAACTCTCCTGCCATTTACACAGCTCCCTCTACCCAAAACCTTGCATAAGCAAAAACTGTCATCATCATATACATTTCTTTCAAGACTAAAAATTTGTTCATATGCTATGAAAAAGAACATGAAAGACTGAGTGTAATTGTGGTGTCTGGTGCTGCCTGTCATAACAGACACCGTCCCCAATCAGGATCCCATTCCCTTCCCACTATATGAACAAATAGCCAAAGTATTATTGAACCTGACCGGTTCTGTACACTCATAACAATCATATACTGCACTGAAACTACAATGGGTTCATATTTTCGGATGGGCAGTTAACATATTCCATGCAGTCACTTCTGGTAAAGCTAGCCACAGTTTGCCCCTGCTCCGTTGTGAATCCCAAATTAAAATAATATTCGATTTGCCTGCCCCGTTTCTCAAATTATTATCACGGGAAGCAATAAATACATAACTAAATAAACAAACCCCAACCTTAACAGAGCCATACCACAGATTGTAATAGATACTCCTGAACGTGTTTAAAAATACTAATTCAGGTACCAGAACCTTAAGTGCAGCTTTATACTGAAAAGTCACTCTTCAAATATGGCATTCTGGGATTCCATTTTCATTGTGTCAAATTCTGCCCTTAGTTACACAAGTGTGTATCTAGAGTAACTTTATTGATTTCAAATGAATTATTCCAAGTTTAAATCAAGGCAACTGAGAGAAGAATTTGGCCTCTTGCCTCTCGGTGATTTTCATCTGAAATGGGCCTGGTTGACAAGATTGTTTTTTATAAACTGTTAATCCTGCCAACTCAGTCTGGGAGCTGAAAGTCAAGCCTCATCTTCTTGAACTTTGTCACTAGTATTAGAGCAGGGGTCGGCAACCTTTCAGAAGTGGAGTGCCGAGTCTTCCTTTATTCACTCTAATTTAAGGTTTGGCGTGCCAGTAATAAATTTTAACGTTTTTAGAAGGTCTCTTTCTATAAGTCTATAATATATAACTAAACTATTGTTGTATGTAAAGTAAATAAGGTTTTTAAAATGTTTAAGAAGCTTCATTTAAAATTAAATTAAAATGCAGAGCCCCCCGGACTGGTGGCCAGGACCCGGGCAGTATGAGTGCCACTGAAAATCAGCTCGTGTGCCGCCTTCGGCACGCATGCCATAGGTTGCCTACCCCTGTATTAGAGGTTGCACAGATCAACACAGACCCTCAGTTATACCTGTCTAAGCCCATTGCCTTTAAATTATACACTCAGTAAAGCCTGGGTCACCCTGCTAATTTCTCTGGAGTTGCACAGGTGTACATGATTGGATTTTAGTGAACAATTTTGCTTGTATGGTGCACCAAGAATTAAAAGAATCCATTTTATTCTCTCTTTCCAGATCATTTGGTTTCCACAGTTATCCATACACCTCCATTGCTGTCAGCACAAGGCAGATAGGTGTGTGTGTGACAATTTGCTTCTCTTCAATTGACAGTAGTCTGTTCAAATTAAAAACAGGTTAGAGTTCCAGAAGTGCTTAGCCTAGATGCTATCAATATTCCCACAACACCAAGTTTCCTCCCAGTGTTTCCCAAACTGATGGTTTGGTCTGTTGGGCCAAATTCTCTCTATGTGGTGCAAAGTAAACCTAAAGAGGTCAGAGATTATTACTGGGAAATCCTCACGTCTGGAGAATCTCTGCAAGTGTGAAGCAGAATGCTGTTTTGACTTCAGTGGGAGCAGATATTGTTAAACAAATGTTTGGATACTTATCCAAGCTCTCTGGACCTAGTGAGGTCCCCATCAGATCTTGTGTCCCTGTTTCATCACACAAACCAACCAGCCCACCAAGCCTTTCCCTCACACACCTTCACATGACACCCCATCACACCTACCTTATGTTGTCTTTGTTAAGTGCCAACATTGTACTCCATGTCGTCTCCTGTACAGAAGGACTGGGGACCTGCTATTGTCTATAGCAATTTTGGCAGATGGCAGCCTGCTACTCCTTAAAGGTCTTTGTGGCAGGGACCCTCTCCCTGAAGTGCCATTTGGCAGTCCTGTGCAGCATCACCATTAGTCTCTGCCTCAGTTTCTCATAAAGGGTTTTCAATAAGTTCAGTGAGGCTTATGTATATTGAACAGGTGGAACATAATGTAGATAGGCCTCCACCCCAGCAGGATGGGGAGAGGGCTGAGTTAATCGTAGTTCATCAATCTCACTTATATCTAGGCCCCATACTAATAAGGCTCTCTTGACTCAGAACCTTCTTCTGAAGACAGGGTCTTTTGTCACCAACAGGAGAAGGGTCTCTCCTCTTGGATCAAGGTCCCCACAGAGGTCAAACCATGACGACCCTTCATCAGAACAGCATATAATTCCTCTGATCCAGGACTTCTGCTGCTTTCTGGTGAAGTCCTTCCATGGAGTGAGGTTTTGCTGATTTGTCACTCATAGCACCTCCCTTTCAGACCCAGGAACATTCTTCCTTGGTTTCCCTTTCTCGTGAGCCCCCTCACCAGGTCCCCCCTGAGAACCCGTCCTTTGGGAGCTTTGTCTGTCTGGGGGCTGTTCCTCATGCGGGTACTTCCCTGCTTAATTAACTGCCTCCCAGTTACTCAGTGAGTTAATTAGTCCCAACTGAACTTGAGTTGCCGCATTTGCCCTTGTGGAGCCTGTCAGAGGTAGGGTGAGCACTATACCCATAATCTAGGGGATTAGGACAATAAGCACCCACCATCATTGCAGTTGGGAACATCACACAGCTGTCGTCTGCTGTTGCCTCTGTCAGTGCCCTGGGGCAGAGATGTGTGCCATCAGCTCTAATAAGTGGTTGCTAGTGTAACACTATGACTCAAGCCCCTTAAAAAATAAGGATGCAAATCTGTAACCTTTATTTATATGAACAATCCCTAATCACAAATATTTCCACTGATGTCCATAGGATTTATTCATGTGATCACAAATTACTCATGTTAGAGACATGGTGTGAGAGGCAGGAGGTATGGTTCTATACTGACTCACTGTGGGATCTTGAGCAAGTCACGTCACCTTTGTATGCCTGTTTCCCTTCTTGTCTACTTAGAGCATAAGCTCTTCAGGGCAGGAACTCTTCTCTCACTATGTGTTTATACAATGTCTAGTGCAAAGGGGCCCTGGTTTTAGTTGGGGCACTGTAAACACTACTGTAATGCAAATTATGATGTAAGCAAAGATTACCAGGCCAGACCCTAAAAGGGAAGTTAGTCATTTTCTCATTCTCTCAGAGAAAGCACACAAGATGCAGCCTCTCCTTCTGAAGAAACATATTAAAATGGCTTCTGCCGACCCTCCTCAGTATATCAAATAGGCTCAGCCAATCAGGGAGCCAAAGGAAGCAATGTAATTGTAACTATGTTATTTCCACATATGTGCACAAACTCAGTGTACAACTGTCTCCTGAATTACACATAAATTGTAAATTTATGTGGCTTAATTCCTTGAACAGCATCAGCCTAATTCCACCTTACAGGAAAACCTTGTGCTTTTCAAATGTGCTGAGTTTTGTTAAGCCAAAGGAAATGCTTTACTCTAGAACATCATTTCAGGTCCCATGTTTATTTTTCTGAGCCCACATACAAGCATATGATACGAAAAAAATATTAGCATACTGCTGTGCATTAGCTGTGTGACATAGAGAGAAAACAGAATATGAAAACCAAAGGAGGAGAGCATCCAACCTACAAAATGGTCACAGGAAGCAGTACTAAGCACTGCTGGAAAGAAACGGGGCTAAAAGGCAAGCAACTTTACAAATACAAGGTGAAATTCACCCTGTGCATAGGGCCCTCACAAGGTCAATGCACACTTAAATCCCACATCAGCCCTATGTTGAGGTCTTAAGTGATGTGATAGGTCTTTTATTGGCCCTCTGCACAGGAGTGAATTTCACCCATGAAGAGCACTCTAGAGCAGTGAGAATGAGTAGCCTATCACGTAGTTAATTATAAGGTTAACAAAAGCTACTTAGTATTACAGTTTTAGTGACAGACATATGCTCTAACTAGCAACCTGAACTTTCCTGAATAGTGTTATCCATAAAGTGTTCATTCAGGTAGATATATTTCCCTGCTACTCAGTGGTGTTCATGTTAATGTGAAGTGTTGTTTTAACTCTGCCCTCTGGTAGACAATCCCAAGTTATATAGGCCCCTACATATTTACTATAGAAACTATGTCATTCAATAAATATTCCAGGTTTGAGAACAGTTTGAAATCGCATGGCAAATAAATTGTGTCACACCATTTTTAACCACACTAGCTACCCTGAGGAGGATACTCCCTTTGTCTCAGACCGAGAGCAGAAATGTTTAATTTGTGAGAGTTTCAATGACAATTCAACTGGATTCCCAAAGTGCAGCCCTAGCAGAGCACTGACATCTGGTGGTCATTTCAGGTCTTCCCAGCAGTACATGTTGCTTTTGGCAGGCAATGAATGTGTGTAATCTCAAGTGCACAAAAGATCAAGGATAACAGGGAGTGAAACTACATAGCATGACCAATCATTAGTCTTCATCATAGATATACATATAAATTGGTAGTGTGGGCTGGACACTTGTGCTAACAGAAAACATTTCTCTAGGAAGACAACTTTATGGATTTAAAAAGCAGGAAAAGAAGGTGAAATTCATTCTGCATAGTCCATATTTAAATCATGTTAATTTTAGAATGACTTGAACAGATATTTTAATGTTACACTTTCAAACTTCTCAGAAATATGATATGCTACTGAAGCATCTAGTGAGGCATATTATTTTATGGAATTTTCAGATGCAAAGTAAATATAGATGTGCTGCAATATACAAACAACAAAGCAAGAGTCAATTAAAGCTAACAAAACATTAACGCAAAAAGAACAGGAGTACTTGTGGCACCTTAGAGACTAACAAATTTATTAGAGCATCTTTTGAAGTTGATGGATTTCCACTCCATACGGCTAAATGCAGTGCCTTGCTCTCATAAATACAAGTACTCCTGTTCTTTTTGCAGATACAGACTAACATGGCTGCTACTCTGAAAACATTAACAGTGTTAGTGAATTAAATTTACTCTAGAGATATTAAGTTTTTGTAAGTAGAGCACATTCAATTTATCAAGATGTCCAAAACAATTGGGTCATTAAAAGTAATTATATGAAACTGTCTTTTACCATCAACAGACAAACAAACAAAAAGCACTGTTTCCTATGTATGAATATTTCTTACTAATGAAAAGGAGCAGTAAGATTTGGGCCATCTTTTGTTAAATATTTAACACTCTGTTAAATTATAACCAGCAATGTTCAACAAACAAATTATCCCTTTCAACATCTGCTTGACACCAAAATTATCCAGGTAAAATCCGTATCTGCTCATTTCAAATGACCATTAGACATTACTAGAGATAGATGATAGCGAACAACTAAAGTTTGTGGACATTGGTATATAGGAGTTTGATTCATGCCCATTACTACAGATTTTACAGGCCCATTTCAGTAACATTTTGTCTACTAGTTACTGATAGACAAACTTCAAAAACTTCAGACGTGTTTTGGTTCAGATATAAATCCAAAAATGCTAGAAACATTCTGGGTCTTCACAAATGAGCTAGAAATCTTGCTAGGTCAGACTTTTGGTAGTTTGTGCTTCCTGTCAGGCCACTGACTGACACACGAACAAAATCTGGTCTCAGATAGGTGCACAACTGCCACTGGAATGATGAGTTGGATTCAGGTTGAACAATACATCCATCAGTAGCCACTGACTGGTGGATTGCATTAAAGCATCTGTGTTATTTACACTGTTTCTTCAAATCCGAACTGTAACTTTATGAAAGAAACTGCAATACAAATTTCCTATTCCCAGGTTGTACAAACAAACAATTTTCACTCATTTTCACCAAGTTGTAATCTCTCAGTAAATAAGTAGACCATGCTGGAGAATTACCCACTTTGTATCTTTATGTTAGCCAATCAAACTTGACAGATGGAGGACTCTTTTCCACTAATAAAAATAAACAAAAATGAAGCTATCGTCAGAAAATCTTACTCATATAAAAAGCTATTTTTAATGGATAAGATATTTTCCGATAGGCTGTGGCACTTATGGGCAATATTTTCACACAGAGACACATGCAATCACTTACGTACAATTATACCCACCTAATTTGTAGGCAAAAATATCCAAGGTATGTAGGCAAATTGGTTATTTGAGTGCACAAAGGCCAAGTTAGGTGCCTGAATCTCAATGAGAGTTGAGAGCCTACCTGCTAGTTTTCCCTTTGAAAAATCTCCTCCTATGTCTTCCCAAATTAGCTGATTTTCACACACACACTTCAAGTATCTTCGCAAATAAATGAAACTCATGCTACTATTTGAACCTCTATATGAAAACCTATGGCAGTTGATCTCGGTGAAATTCTCTCCCATGCAAAGGTCAGACACAAGGCCTGTGGGCCACTTAAGTCCCACTTAAATCCTGTTTTCAGGGCTCAAGTGGAGCCTAGGACTTGTGCTGGTCTTCTGCACACTGAAGAATTTCACCCAGAGTGAGCACCTGTTGCATTGCTGCATGAATACCTGTTGAATAAAAGTTCTAAAATTACATCAGTCATTTGGTAAAAGAGACAGAAACAATGATTCTTCTAACAAAGCATTGCCACAGGATCTACAGCTCCTCATTTGAAAAGAACCTATTTTATTTTCTTTATTGTCCCCTCAATGTTTATTATCCACAAGTATTTCAGCTTTTCCAATACATGTATGCAATTGTAGGAGACTATTATTCTGTGACAATGTTCTGCTCCATGAATCTTTCATATATGTTTATCTTTGAGATTTTTCTGGGGATTAGAGGTGTCCCCCACACACAATCAGGCAAATTAGAGTCTAAAAATAAGGTTGTCTTGTTCTAATTGATAACATCATATTGACAAATCTCTTTCGAAGACAAGTGAAAGCAAAATAACCCATTCCTGCTAGCAAGCCAACCAACATGGTTGTGCCAAGAACTCTTGGTGCCCTTTTCTTGGCCACCCGGAACGCAGTTGGCAGAACTGCTGAGATTAATATGTTGTTGACATGTCCTAAAACTTTGTTAAATGTTTTTCTCTTCAAGACACGTTCATAATAGGCTTCCAAGTTGGGTCGTTTTCCATTTCCCCAGTTTCTTCTTGCAAACCCCAGAAACTTCAGGCGATGTAATGTAACAGCAAGCGATACATCTGCCAAACTAAAGAATTCACCACACAGCCAAGGCTGCTGTCCATCTTCTAATCAGAAATAAACACACAAAGAATTAGGAGCTAACGAAGTACAAGGATATGTGTAAGGTTGCCTGGTCTATTACGTGTATGTTTACTGCTAGTACATAAACAGATTCATAAACAGCAGTAGTACTTTGAAAGTTAAAAATCTAATTTTAACAGCTAACTTCCTTCTCCAACCCCTTCCATAGTCTATACAGTACTGCAAAGTCCACCTCCCAGTTGCCCAGTAAGATCCACACTTCAGTTTTGTGCTTTAAGACCCAGTTTTTGCTCCCAATTAAATTTTCTCAAGACTAAATTAATTCAATCGAGGGGAAGGGAAGCAAGGGAGCTCAGCTTTCATTTTTTCTGAACTCTAGCAAGGGCTACAGATTCCCCTAGTAAAGGCCTGAGAGTGTCATCTTGTTTGTGTCATTCTATTTAAAAAAACTCAAATAGGAGCTGCTTACATCTGATGAAAATTTTCCAAGCAAAAGGAAATTAACCTGTTGATCTGGCCATTAGAGGAGCTCTGCATTGACCCATGGCCTACACAGAACTTTTAAATGAAACTGTAATTCTTTCCGGATTGCCAATTTAACTACAAGTCCCCTAATTGCCCTCCTATGGCCCAGTCAGCAAGTTACGTTCTGCTTAGATCTCAAGTGGAAACGCTCAAGTGGAAATACAGTGCTCTCTGCTGTATTTTTCAAATCAAAATAAGTATATGATCTCTGAGCCAGGGAGATCTGTGGTTATATCTAGAAGGCTGGGGAGAGAGACCTGTGCAGGGAGGGAATCAGTTCTGTGCAGCTGAAGAGAGATATGGAAGTTAATCCTTACAAAAGGAGAATAAAGGGGAAGAGCTAAGCAGCTAACTATGTGAGCAGAAGACTTGTGTGAGGAAGAAGACTAGGAGGGAGGGAGAGATTGGAGTAGTAAAAGAAAGGAATAGAAGGTCAGGGACAGATTGAGAGGTGACTTCATTGTGGTATATAAGTACATTCACTGGGAGAAAATACCCAGTACTACAGGGCTCTTTAATCTAGTAGTAAAAGGAATAACAAGAACCAGTGACTAGAAGTTAAAGACAGACAAATTCAAATTAGAAATAAGGCACTTTTTTTTAAAACAGTGAGGATGATTAACTATTGGAACTACCAAGGGAAGTGGTGATTCTGTCTCTTGAAATCTTCAGATCAAAACTGGATGCCTGTATGCTTTATTTAAACACAAGTTGCTGGGCTCCATACAGGGTAACTGCATGAAATTCTATGGTTTGTGTTACACAGGAAGTCTGACTAGATGATCCAATGGTCCCTTCTGGCCTTAAAATCTATGAATCTATAGCTGGAAAGTCAGAGAGATAGAATAAACATGTAAAAAAGGAGATCGAAAACATGAAAGGGATTAAAAGAAGAAAAAGAAAGAAAAACAATACAGTAAAAGCTGTGTTATCTGGCACTTTACCAACTGGAAAGCTCTAGAAACCAGCATTTCTAATAGGGTTGCCAGGTGTCCAGATCCGGGTGGCGCTCACCTCAGGTGGCTCCCTGCAAGCGGCGACATGTCTCTGCTACTCCTAGGCGGAGGTGCGGCCAGGCAGCTCTGCGTGCTGCCCCCGCCTTGCCCTGAGTGCTGGCTCCACAACTCCCATTGGTAAGTATAATTCTTAGTTAAATGGAATTTTTGACTAGCCGGCACCCTCCATTCCCCCAACATGCCAGATAACAAAGCTTTTACTGTATATTGAAAATGGGCTTTATAATTCTGCATGTTAATCTTTATTTTTGTTTAGGATTCTGACTAATAGTGAGAAGTGAAACCCAAACTGTTTGGAGGTTTGGTTCAGATGGGCACCCAAACATTTGAGCTTATTCTTATCTTACTGAAAGTAACATACATTGTGAAATGGAAATGAACTAATTACTTCAGTAAAGACGACTCTATAAAAGTCTCATGAGAACACACTTTCACATGTGTGTTGTGGTTTTACTTCTGGCTGGGCTGGAAAATACTTAGAACCAGCTTTCTAATTCAATTTTCGAATGACCCCTTCCAATCCCAGCTGTAGCGAGGATGTGAGGAAGAGAGCGTGAAAATGAAAGAACTGTGAGAACTGAGAAAACCTGTTTGTGTGGTATCTATGGCCTAACCAAAGCAAGAACTAGACATCTCATAAGAAAGCCTGTTATCATGAGATTTTTCTGCTCTATCTGTAGACTCAAGAGGTTTGGATAGCTTAGATGAAGTTCAGAAAAGCATCTGATTAGTCAGAAGTCTGACATTCAGCCAAACGCCGCCTCCCTTCCCCTGGTATACTCTTGTCAAATCTCAAACTAAGTGAGGTCATGCCAGGGCACTGTTTGGAAGATCTCTATGAGAAAACGAAGTACCTCACGAAGTAGTGTTGGTACATCTCATTTGTTCACTGAAATTTTATCATCTGATCACTAGAGCTGCTATGTGTGTTGGGGGGGGGTTGGAAAAGAGGAAACTGAAAGTGAATCTCAAGAAAGAAAAACCATGAGAAACAGTCATAAAAATGTTTAAGTGTTGGTTAAATCCACTCAGCATTAGAATGAGATTAAGATTTCTAAATTCAGTTTTTTAACCCATTTGGGTAACTCTTCAACAAGGAGTCCAGAAAGTTCTAGGCTTGATTATTGTTTACAAATGCAAGAAACTCTAGAGTATCTGGAAGAAATTCCAGATGGTATAGCTGAATCCTCAAGGGTTTGGTAATGGGGTGAAATTCTTTGCTGGTGTAACTCCATTGGCATTGTGGCAGTACAGAATTAGACCAAAAAATTTATTCACTACTGTATCATTCATTGGTTTTAATCCAGCCTGTATTGATAGGGATTGTATTTATGTTACCATCTGACATCTGGTTTGCTATGTGAAGTGAGTTAGTTGTCTGAGTTCTGTTCTCAGTAAGTAGGAGTTCACTTACATAACACAGTTAATACCAACTGGCATCCTTATTGGTAGTCTCAGTAGAAGGGTGAAGGATTGAGGGCTTGATCCAGCTCCCAGTGAAGTCAGAGGAGAGGCTCCCATTGATTTCTGTGGGAGCTGGATCAGACTCTGGATGACTACAGAGAATGAGCTTCCTTTATAAAGGATCGGCTAAGGTTAGGACATAGTGGCAGGAAAGTATGAGGGAAATTGCACTGCACTGCTCTGCAGTGTTTTAATCTCCAGGACTGTCAGTTGTGTACCTATCTCCATCACTACGGTTTAAATTCAGCATGGTATTTAAGCATGTGCCTAACTTTAAGCACATGAGGACTACTGACATGTTTAAGTTAGTCATGAACTTGTTATGCTGAATTGGGACCTCAAGCAATTTAAGAAATGTTTTTTTTTAAAGTGGTATGGAATGTTGTGGCTAATTCTCTACACATCATGCTGAAAATGTGTGTGATCAAGGTCTCAAAAGCACACTTAAAAGTGTTCATATATGCTCCTACTGACAGTAGATTGCATTAGACTAAATTAGTATTGAAAGCCATATTTGATAGGCTCAGTGAAGTTAGATAGCTATCAATTAAAACTAATACATCAAAAAATATCATACAGAACAAATGTTGCTATCTGGATGAATCAGTTGTGTCAAACATAACTGTCAATAGAATTAAACAGGAATAATCTCTTACCTGGTGTTTCTTCATTTCTCCTTTGTAACTCAGTCTCAACCTGGTCCAAAACTTTTTCCAATTCATCAAGTATTTTCTTCAGGTACTTTATATTATCATGGTCCAGCAGCTTAGACTGCAAATACCCATAGGTTATAGTTTTAAACAATCATACATATATATTATGGTTAGGGTTTTCGGAGAAAGATTCATTTTGGGATTACAGTACATATTCATAAAATGTGCACACAGTTAAAAGTCAAGTGGAAGCTATTGGCAATTCGCATATTAGTGACAACTCAAATAACAGAAAAAAATTCTTTACAACATGGAGATACCCTGTGAGTGCTTAATCCTGCAAGGGGGTGAGTGCTCTCACTTCAGTCCAGCAAAACACTCACGTACAGGCTTAACTTTGAAGTCAGTGGGACATCAAGGTGCTTTAAATTAAGCATGTATTGAAGTGTTCTGCTGGATGGGAGACAAAGTGCTCAACGTTTTGCAGGGCTGTCTCCCTGAATGAGCACACTGATAATGACAGGTGAAATAGAATTTTAGCATCATTATGGGAGAATTCCAATATTACTGTTCAATTCGTTTAGCAGTGGGATACCATTAATTTACTCACTTTAAGGCGCTTCTGTTTTGCTATATAAGCATCTTGGAGGTCTGGATTTTCTTTGGCAAGCTTCTTTAGTTCAGATTCTGTGTTACCTATCTGGCCTAATAAAACAGAAACAGGAATTATATAAAATCACCCACTATATTCATGTTTTCATCCACAAAAATTAATGAGTAAGTGGTGGACGTATTGGTCGCCGCTTCCAGCAGCTCCCATTGGCCTGGAGCAGCGAACCGCGGCCACTGGGAGCCACGATCGGCCGAACCTGCAGACGCGGCAGGTAAACAAACCGGCCCGGCCCGCCAGGGGCTTTCCTTGCACAAGCGGCGGAACAAGTTTGGGAACCACTGCTCTAGTCCAACCACAGTATTGGATTTGAAGCAGAATTTAAGTCAAGGAAGTCCTATGGCCTGTGTTATGCAGAAGTCAGACTAAATGACCACCATGGTTCCCTCTACCCTTACAATCTACATATTAGGAGTCAGAAATTGGTCTAATTGGAAAAATCGATGGATGAAATTCAGGCCTCACTGAAGACAATAAAAGTTTTGCCATTGACTTCAATGGGGCCAGGATTTCATCCCATATCCTGCTTTGAAGATTCCCAAAATGTGGGGTTGTGCAGATCCAGGATTTTGGGACAAACTGATCTTTAAAATTAATTTAATTTGTCAGATGAACCCAGGCTGCTTATCCTTTTTTGCCCCTGGGTGCGAATATAAAGGTATTTCTCCTACAAAAAATGGGGCTAGATTTTCCTCTCACACAAGTTTTATATCGGTGAAACTCCACTCTTTGTAAGGCTACTCTTCATTACACTAGTGTCAGAGAGAGGAGAGTCAGGTCCATTATTTTAATCGATGTTCTGCTGCCATTGTACATTTCTACATTTACAAAGAATATATTTTCTTCACTGCAATGGTTTGGTGCAGGCACTACTAGTGCAGACTACAGGAAAATATGTATATTGTTTTATAACCTAAAACAGCAAGATAAAAAAATTAAATTTTTGCAAATGCCATTACTATCTGTGCATAATAAGCACAAATAGCACTGCTATCCTTCCCTGTTGTTAGCAGAATTAATTCCACAGATACTCCAAAAAGGACATTTCCTTTTCCCACATTTTCAGATCTTTCAAAATTTTAAGCAAAATATCTTTTAAAATTAAAATGACACATATAGGGCTAGATTCTGCCCTCAGTAGTATGCTCATAGCTCTACTGATGTCCAACGGGGCTGTGATCACAAGAGATAGTAGCTATGATTCAGAGATTTTATGGGCTGGCGGTTGAAGCTGAACAAATTCAGACTAGAAAGAAAGTGCAATTTGGGGGGGAGGGTTGTTACCAGCCTAATACAGCAAAGGACATATTCATTCTAAAACAAAGACCTTGATGAATGTACTCCTCTTTCAGCCCACAAAACTATTATAGCCAGCAGTATTTCCTGTCATTATGACTGAATGCTCAACATTGGGAGAATGGAACTGAAGTTTCCTAAATCCCTGGTTTTGAGTTACTGAATAAAATTTTCAGAAGTGCCTACATTACTTAGAAGCCTAAGTCCTCATAAGCAACTTACATACTTTTGAAAATTTGACTGTTCATTTTAAAGGGCCAATATTTTCAAAAATGAGTGCCTAAAACTAGGGCAATAAATCCATATCATGTTACTTTATTAAGTGAGCTGATTTTCAAAACTGCTGAGCACCCAGCTGCTCCCAGTTATTTAAGTGCCTAACTGTAGGGCATCCGTTTATCAAACATATTTGCCATCAACAATGTATGAGTGTGAGTTGTTTATGTGGTAAGCAAATTTTTAAACTATATTCTTATTCAAGTCTCAGGGATCTTTAAATATAAAACATATTTAGAACCAAGTAAGAAAGATCTGTTAAATGGCAACATCTTTGGGTTTATATTCACTACATACTGCGAATTCTAGTTGTCGCATAAGCTGGAATCATGGAATCCACTGTTAATTCTGGGTGTAAAATGCAGCCATGTGTGTAGGCATCCATAGGCAAGGAGTCCAAGAGCTCTCTATAGTGTTGCACCCTTGGGTAATACATGCTTCCTTCTTCTGGCATTAATCTTGGTGTCTTCTCTGAAATATATTTATTTAGGAGATTTTAAAAAATAAATCAGAAGAGATATATAATATATGTAATGATATTATGATAAATGATAAATATGATAAAAGTAGTGTTCTTAATGGTACTTCAGTTGTCCCTGTGTAGCACAGATGACATGGTTATCAAGTGAAATCCTCACTATTGGGTAATTTCCCCCCTCCCCCCATATGAGCCCAGTTCAACAAAGCACTTAAGTGCATGCTTAGTTTTCAGCACGTAATCCCATCCCTCTTCAGCAATGTACTTAACCATGTGATTAAAGAGACCTTAGCAGATCAGAGAATCTGCTCCATAGCATATTATATTCAAGCAGTTTCAGCAGAATCCATTTTTTACATTTCAAGCAATGTCACTATGTATTGAGGTACAATAGACATCTCTATGGCCCATTCAAAAGAAAGTACTGCAGTGATTAAAAAAATCTATTATAAAATGATACTTTAATTTTTTTAATTTGTTTTTAAAGAGTTCCATTTTACAGCAGCATTAACAGTTCATTTATATCTGTATCCATAGATTGTTAGCCACCCTTAGCTTTACCCAGCTCTCTATTTCCTCCAGACAATCATTATCTGACCAAAAAGCAAGTAGCTAGCAATTAATTCAGCAGGTGTTGAACTGCTCACAGTGACATGTTCTTACTGCTATGGGAATCTCTAAAGTCCATTGCAGAATCATTTTATCCTTGAAACTACATTTGCCAGTTAGGGACATAGTGTATCAGAGCCCTAACTAGAGAGCACCAATACAAAAGGTTGCTTCTTCTCCTCACCCCAAGAAATACAGTTTCTGTGCACCGGCAAAAGAAATCATTTTCTTTAAAAATTGATCCTATTTCCTAGTAATGACAAGTGTTGTGAAATTTCAAGATATGCCACTATTCCTTTCTTACTACCGTAGATGTATTCTTCCCACTTTTGTCTCCTTATTCCATTTATGCGTGTGTGCACATGCACACGCGCGCACACACACACACACACACACACACATACAGAGTCACTATTCTTTCTCCCTTATGGGGCATAATTTAAAAAAAAAAAAAAAAAAGATTATTCGGGGATTATCCAGGAAACTGCACCATTTTTGTGTGAGAGGTTCTTTCCAAAAATGACAAATGTTTTGCAACCTCCCATGAAACTATTCTTTTATATTAGTCCTTGCTACACAATTAGTATAGCAAAGTGTTATCATATTCTTGACCTCTGTGTGCTAGCAGGATAAGTGATCAGTATATCAGTTATCTTGCCAAATAGATGTTAAAGTATTTTCAATGCAATCAGTTTGCTTGGGGAATGGGAAACCTTTTACGGATCTGAACAAAATTCTATACAGAGACATGTAAGTACTATATTAAAAATCACATAAACTCAAAAAATTTTCATTACCATCCACGAATGTCTCTTCAAGATAATCAATAATCTGTGTGGCCTCACAAATAATATTTTCTCCATGGATAAGGACAGGCACTTCTCCAGATGAGTTTAAACGCATAAACCAAGGTTCATTGTGTTCACTCAGGGGTAAACTTACATCGTGTTCTTCACACTTCAGTGCTTTTTCAGCAATTACTAAGCGCACCTGAAAAATATTGCAAGAATTACTTGATTAAGCTATTTACCATGGATAAACTGAGTCTGTTCAATTAGAGGGGCAATGTGTTTCAGTGGGAGTCAGGAGTATTGGGGTCTATTCCCAGCTGTGCCCCTGATCTGCTGTGTGACCTTGGCAAATCTCTTCACCTCTCTGTCTTCTCTCACATCCTTTGTCTATTTAAATTGTGTTCTCTTTAGGTAGAAACTATGTACAGTTCCTAATACAACTGAGTCCTAATCTCAGTTGGGGTCTGTAGGTGCTACTGTAATACAAATAAATAAATAACAACAACAACAAAGAATAATTTTAATTGCCTAAAACTCTTCTTTCAACACATTTATCATTAGCATAAAATAGTTGATGGCTATTTGACTGACAGGTATTCCTAGAAACAGTTGATAAAATTTAAGTGAATTAACAACACAAAATGATTTTTTTTTAAATATCTTAAAACCTGGTGCTATTTTTGGTGATGTCTAAATTCCTTTCCCATATAATCTCGAATATGTTCTGTATACATAACTGGAACTGAAGCATACTTTTTTGGAACTTTTTATTAAGGCAAAGTTACAATAAAATATTAACATACTACACTGGACATTACTTATTAAGATCAGGTTAATATTCAAAAAGCTTGGCTAAAAATTTGCTGGCTGGAGAGCTCTTTCCTTTGAATAAACTTAAAAAGGGTGGCCACATTTTGAAATACCTGCCCTCTTTTTGGTGCTTCTCTTGTGTATGTACTTGGTGTGAAAGCTTTTCCATTACAAGAATAATCCATATTTTACAATACCATAATTGTTTGCTTTGGCAATGGAACCATTTACAATAAAGGTGAGAAACAGCCCTTTCCTAAAAAGTATCAAAACGTCTTCTGCATTAGAACACAAAATAGATGGATATGCTCATGTCGTCTTGTTATATCTGCAGAATCCAGAAGTGCCATTCAAAATTATCTGTTACATTTTAACAATTCAAGGAGTGTTATATTGTTTTAAAGCCCCTAGTCATCCTTCCTCATACAGCACTCCTCTCCACTGCCTCCTGTGCTGGATTTAGGGATTCTGCATTTCGAAATGATCACAGTTCCCTGGAAAGCCTTGCAAGCCTTTCAGGGCCTAAAAAGAAAGCTTTGTGGCCTTGCCCCTCACCATCTCTTCCTCCTCCCTATCCAGATCTAGGCAACAGCGCTACATCCCTCTGCCCACGCCTAAGCACTCAGATTGGGACCTGCAAGGCAAGAAGCCCATTGAGCTGCTGCTGCCGCCACGCCCCAGAGGGGGCAGCAAGGCCCGGGGGATCTGTCCAGATGCTGATCCCTGGCACCCCCGAAAGCAACCAGGCACTCACCTTTTGGGAGCAGAACGAGTGGGTCCAGTGGTACAATATTAACTTAGCCTCTGCCTTGCACTCAGCCAGGAGCACGGTGCCCGCTGCCGCGCCATCCTCCTCTGGCGCCATCGCCAGAACCGGCTCAGAACCGGCTCCCCAGCGGACCGGACTCCCCGGCTGCTACTGAGCGTGCGCCGGTGCTCGGAGCATGCTCCGTGACAGCCGCTGCCCTCGCATGGCATCGGTACCTGCGCCCTGGCTGCACCGGGGAGGGAAAACAGGGGCGGGCAGGGGAGGGGCACAGCCAGGGGCGGGGGGCAGAGATGCAGAACTAAGGGGGAAAAGAGAGCCAGGGCAGAAATAGAAAGGGGGGGGGAAAGTGGGATCAGATTGGGGGGGGGTTGTGCTGCACCATGGACAGTGCATCGCTGCACCTCTGCCACCCCCTACACAGGACTCTGGCGTTAAAGCCCCAATCTAGCCCAATGTCTCTCTCCCCCTTCAGCCGACCCGCCCCTCCCCCCCCCCACCCCCACACACTTGCAAATGTTTTCAGACATGATTTATATGTTTAAAATAATACATGGTTTAGAAAATGTAATCCTGGTAAGGCATAAACTGCAGGGCAGAATCTGGCATAAAGCACATAAAACCCCTCCATAATCAAAAACCATCTCTCTCTGTGTGTCCCATCTTTACATGTGTTTATAGCCCTCAGTCAAGAATGGCCAATTTGCTAAGGCTAGCCCAAAACATTTAGGACCCAGTCCTTCAATGTATATCCCATGCCCAGCATGTTTTAGCTAAACTAAACAGTCTGTTCCTTATGCAGGCATAACTATATATGTACACGTAAAAAGTCCACACTTCAAGAAAGTTAATTTATGCTTGATGAATAAATGGATGTTTTAACAATCACGTGATTACATAATGACTCTCAAGGAAAATATGTTTTGCTGAAGAGAAAAACCATGATGGATGTCGTCATCCAACAAGAACATTAATCAGACCCTGTTACATTGCATTACCCACCTGTGTTTCTTGTATTGCTATTATTACACTAAACAGTGATAGAGGTGTGATTATAATTTTAGCAAACATATCTGGTCCTTCATATTTGCTTTCCTTCAGCCTAAACCCAGGAGTCAATGCTCCTTGAATTTTTAAAGGTGACATACAGAGGAAACAAAATGATTTTGCACCCTTTTTGTTATCTACAAGGAATAAAGGAGGCCTAAAAGGCATATGGTGGTAGGATTCAGCCATATCCATCAGAAATTGCTCCCTCCATACCAGGGCATGAGGAAAAGTGAGGGGAAGCGATATCTGACAGTGTCACCACCATGTATCAGAAATTATGTCCCCGAGGCCAGGAAAGTGCAAAAAGCATTTTTTGTGGGAGAGTAAAGATGGTACATAACTTATATCAGATCTTGCAGCTAGCAGGAAATCTGATAGGAAAGCCTTTTCTGGAACTACCCTGTTTCACACTAAATATTCCCCACAGGTAGGGCAGGGCAAGCCAAACCTGAATCTAGGATGTTGTGAGTTCTAGTCCCTGTTGGTACTAAGTGTGTTTCATTTCATTTTAGACATAGTGGGTAAAATCCTCACTCTACTGAAGTCAATGGAAGTTGAGCCATTGATGTCAACAGAGCCAGGATTTCACCCACTATTCATAGCCACTTACCTCTGTAATGTAATTGTGACCAAGGCAATAAAATAAGGAGGGAAAGAGGGAACAAAGAGTCAGCTCTCACCCCTGTAATATTCACAAGAGTGAAGCACAATTGCAGTCCTTGGATTCCCCTGAACCTAAGGACTGTGGCAAGGCCAGCATCACAAACAGCACAAACTTCCTCAGAGGAGGTCAGCAGTATTTCAGGGGAGTGACCCTACACAGCTCCACCCCCTTTGGGTACTGCTCAGTACAGTTCTGGGGGGTACATTTTGTGCCCTGCAACAAAGTGATGAAGGGGAAGTTATGATTCTTCTGCAGACTTCAGGCACAATGCCTCCCAGAGCTCACATTGGGAAGTGTGGACATGACAGAGGCATACAAAATAATGAAGGGTATAGAGAAGTTAGAATGGGTGTTCCTACGTACACTCTCATAACACAAGAACAAAGGGACATTCAATGAAACTGAAAGACAATACATTTTAAACTGATAAAAGGAAATTCTTCTTTATACAATCCAAATTAAACTGCAGAATTCATTGCTACAGGACATAACTGAGCTCAAGAGTTTATTGGGGTTATATAAATGTCTATCTATATAGCTAAATTTCCTCATAGCTACATCAGATAGGATAAAATATAGAAAGGATATAACCCTTCATGGTTTAGGATACTATCTTAGAAAATCAGGCTCATGTTATATTGCTCATAGATCCTGAATTCTAATTAGAGCTAGTACAAGACAATTATAATCAATGCTACCATCTGTGACCTAGCTTCAAAAGCCTGGAAAAGCCACTGCAGAAAAGAAATTAGTCCTCCTATTAGGAGGGCATCATCTCAGACTTGAAATCTACAAAACAGGAGAGTGTAATTGGCATGGCTCAGAAAAGCTTTCCTAGATGAGAATATTTGAATGTCTGCTCTGTGGTTTGTGAGGCGCTAAGGGAATAAGAAGATACACTGGGGCACTTGAGAACATTTTTCTTTTTAAACTACAATGGTGTCTTTCTGTTGACTTCAGTGAGAGTTGGATCAGCCCTCGGAACTACTACTCAAACAAGTCATATAAATGTATAGTAGTTCTGAGAATTATGAACATTCCTTGAGATTTTGTATATTAAAATATGGGGAGCCCAATATTAAATTTTCCATAGTATGTTGTCTGAGAGAGGTGAAAGTAATTATTTGTACATGATAACAAATCTTCATAGCCAAGTGGTTCTTTGACTTCGTATTTATAGCAGTGTTTAAATAGCCTTAATTCTTTCTGATGCCTTCACTGTTATGAATTTTCCCTTTAGCATGAAAAATAAGTAGCATATCAGCCCACTGAGAAGTTCATTGTCTTCAGTACTTGGTCTGTTGTCCAGTTAATTCTGGAATTTGTGGGAAAATGAGGCATCATTTGTTTATTCAAATACAAAATATCAGAGATTTTTTGATCAATTGAAGATCATCCCATACAGATGGCCCTGTTCTCTATTGTTTGTACACCTCAAACTCCCATTAAACAACCATTCACTCTAATGAAATTTTTGGGTGTGCAAAGAATGGAGATCAGGCCCTGCCTAAACACTGTTGCTTATATGTTTTATTAAGTATTTTGTTACAATGTCTGGCTGTGCAAATGTCTAGTGCCTAAATCTGTAAACACTTATGCCTATGATTAACTTTAATCACATGAGTACTCTCATTGACTTCAAGCAAGCACTGTGCAATTAAGTGCAGATTATTTATTATTAACTAATTAAAATGAATTTTTGTTGTATTTAGGGTGAGCTGCTACCTTGGGAAACAGAAAATTCTTCCTTCCTCCCTTGATGTATCTGGCTCACATCCCTGAGTGCAGCTCTGGAGGAATAATATAACTAAAGGATGCATCATCCAAACAACAAGCATTTACCAGTTTGAATACATTAACGTTTAGAAATTAATTAATAATATTAATTCTAGTAAAGAAAATTGTTTCCTTACATGAATAGCATTTCAAACAAAGAAATGCCAATGAAATGATAAGAAACATGTACAATAGTTTAGAAAAGCAAAGGTTTTTTATCTGGATATGTCTAACTTGTCTACCACTGTAGTAATGGTTTGAATGATCATGAGTTAATTCAGTTTCAGCTAAATGGAAGGATAAACTAAAATAGGTCTGCAACTAGGGTCCTTGATTTCAAAAGGGCAAACTTGAAAAGAAATGAAGGGACTTACTTAGGGAAGTGGAGTGGACAGAAGAACTCAAGGATCTGAATGTGAAGAAGGCTTGGAATTACTTTAAGTCAAAGTTGCAGAAACTATCTGATCAAGAATGAACTCTCAAAACGAGAAACTCTCTTAAAAAACCAACCTTCCACACAAACTCCCTTGTGGCTGGACTTTACAAAAACTAGACAAGCCATTTACAACACACACTTTGCTTCTCTACAGAGGAAAAAGGACACTAAACTATCTAAACTCCTACATGCCACAAGGGGCCACAATAGTGGTTCCCTTAACTCACCCAACAATATTGTTAATCTATCCAGCTATATTCTTAGCCCGACAGAAGAATCTGTCCTATCTCGGGGCCTTTCCTTCTGCCACACTGCCCCCACAAACATGATACAGTTCTGCGGTGACCTAGAATCCTACTTTCGACGTCTCTGACTCAAGGAATATTTCCAACACACCACTGAACAGCACACTAACCCACAGGAAGCTTCCTACCAACATTAAAAAAAGAATTCTGCGTGGACTCCTCCTGACGGTCGAAACAGCAGACTGGACTTTTACATAGAGTGCTTCCGCCAACGTGCACGAGCTGAAATTGTGGAAAAGCAACATCACTTGTCCCATAACCTCAGCCGTGCAGAACACAACGCAATCCACAGCCTCAGAAACAACTCTGACATCATAATAAAAAAGGCTGACAAAGGGGGTGCTGTAGTCATTATGAATAGGGCGGAATATGAACAAGAGGCTGCTAGACAACTCTCTGACACCAATTCTACAGGCCATTAACCTCTGAGCCCACTGCGGATTACCAAAAGAAACTACACCATCTGCTCAAGAAACTCCCTAAAGAAGCACAGGAACAAATCTACACTGACACACCCCTAGAGCCCCAACCAAGGGTATTCTATCTGCTACCCAAAATCCATAAACCTGGGAACCCTGGACGCCCCATCATCTCAGGCATTGGCACCCTGACAGCAGGATTATCTGGCTATGTAGACTCTCGCCTTAGGCCCTGTGCTACCAGCACTCCCAGCTATTGTCGAGACACCACTGACTTCCTGAAGAAACTACAATCCATTGGTGATCTTCCAGAAAAAAAACATCCTAGCCACTATGGATATAGAAGCTTTCTACATGAACATTCCACACAAAGATGGACTACAAGTCATCAGGAATAACATCCCCGATACCATCATGGCAAACCTCGTGGCTGAACTTTGT